GGCAGGTATCATTTATATGTGTAAATAACCCTGCCAATAGAGAGCCCCACCAATTGGGATATTTTTTGAATAGCTCAACTGGTAGAAAGTCCTCCCCAAGTCCAGACCAAATTGAGGAAGCATAGCTTTTTTTCCCCCCTTGATTTAATGAGTTTCTTATATTTGCTTCTTAGCGACAGCATCTTAGCTTGTATGTGTCCAGAGAGATGGCTTTGTGCAAGTCTCAAAGCTGCCTTTAATTTCTTTCTCATTAAATGGCATTCCTTGTCAAACCAAGGAGATTTACCTATAGGGAGACTTTTGGAGGAGAGTTCAGTTACTAGGTGTTTCTTTAACGTATGGCACAAATTGGTGAATGCATTGGAGACCCAGTCAGGCGTGGGTGACTGGATTATTAAGGCCCAGCTGACAGCATTCTCTGATTTGAGGCTATTCAATTAGCCTTGGTAAATACTTTGGACCATACTAACTTTTTTTTTTTATACACACCTCTGAGTTAATAGCAACCCACCTATCAACCACGTTATACGATCTTAAATCTGAACGAGCCGAGATTTTCACACACACTGGCTGATGATCACTTTCTCCTCTTGGATAGACAGTGACCTCTGAAAAGGATCTCTTGATACACAAATAAGATCTAGGACACTGCTTGACTGGGCTGAAGGAAAGATGTATGAATATACATAATTATTATCCTTACCTCCCAACATTTGAAGGTTACATTTAAAAATCAACTATACCAAGTATAAACCAGCAGTACTACATTTGTTATCTCTTGAAAACCACAGTGGGTGATTATCCAAACATTCATTTGGAAGTCCACTGTATCAAGCTAATAATCTCATGAAGAGATTGGCCTAATTTGGCATTAAAATCACCAAGTGGTGTCAGCTGGTGGAAGCATTTCTGGACATTGCTCAGACTGATACTCAGGAGACAGTAGTATTAGTTCATCAGCTAAAGACTGATCTTCCAAATAGTTATGTGAAGATTGTGCTACATTGACCTGTTGGATGTCCTTTTCTTGTTATAGTTTTGCTTTGGACTGGCACACCTTCTTTTTTGATTTGTTGGGGATTTTGTGCTCTCAGAGGCTGGACTTATCAGCATTTCCACAGAGGAGCAACTAGAAGGAAGTAAGGTGTTAGGAGTCTCAGTGGCAGCGATGGCTGACTGCAGGATAGATTTAACAGTTTCAAGCTTGCTTAAGATCAGTTGTTGTTCCTCTGGGGGGAGAGTGCAAACCGTTGAGTTAAATTTTCCTCATCTTCCAAAAAATCATCTAAAAGCTGTGTCTTTCCTTTAATTAGATCTGGGGCATCTCTTTCTTTCTGTTTTTCCTGTTCGGACCTTGGCAATAAAGGAGTTCTCCCTTTTACAGACAGTGGACAGCTGTGATTAGATGCTCTAAAACTTGTACCATCTTCCTTCACTGGCTTGGCTTTCCTCCCAGAAATTAGCAAAGGCTAGATTCAGCTATTGTAAAAAACATGTATTGGCAGAATATGGAATTTCCTTAAATAGGTCTTAAGCTTGAAAAGCACTGATGGAAGAGTAAGCTGCTAAAAGTTAACATTATCCTTTGAAATCCATGCCTGCTAGGAAGCCAGGAGACCTTTGTAAGTTCATTAGAGCATGCCCTACATCGAGGAATTTTAGAAAGGGAGTTTAATATTACCCGTCTAGTATGCCATCTGCCCTTATTCAAAGGTGTATCAGCAATGTGAAGCAAGATCCTGTGTCTCTGCAAGATTAGTTGCTCCCCAATATCTTCTTTACCTGGAAATGTTTGTACAGGCTGTACTGTCCGTGGGTTAGAGATAAGTTTTGGAATGTGTGAGTTGCTTTTTGTTTTCTTAACTGATCTGGGGATGTGCTTTTCTATTAAAGTCTTTAATTCGTCTCTTTTTTGGTGAGCATCCAGAAGCTGATCGAACATAGCAATAACTCCTTCAGCTGTTAAGAGGCAATTTTTAGCAACCAGATCCAGGTCTCCAGCTAAATTCTTCCTGACATAAACACCATCCTCCCCTCTATCTCTGAGTAGAGCCTCATTTTCAGAGAGAGGGCAATCATCCACTCCCCAGTCCAAAGAGGAGTAAGAATTGTCAACAGGGGTTACAAGCGGAGAAGGAGAAGGAAAAAGAGACTGACATGCTGTGTCCTTCAGCTGAAGCAGGTCCTTTATCTTTCATTGCCTAAAAGGCATTGCAGCCTTGCCTTGTTTGAGGTTTCCTCTTGGCTGGATCTCTGCTTTGTGCCTCCTTTTAATCTTTCTTTTCAAATTCTTTTTCATCCCTGCCTTATAATTTTGCACCCTTGATTACTATTTGAAGTTAGGATAGCAAACTAATTACTCAAACTACTTGAGTAACACTAAAGAAAATCACTAAAATGAGTAAAAGTTCAAGAGCCCTTTACAGAGCTGTCAGTCTATTGCCATGTTGGATCCATCTCCCAAAATGTTGGGTCACGAAGTGATTTCATGGTTTTACTTTGTCACTTGCAAAGAGACAGTCGTCGTTCTTTGGAAATTATTCTTGATTGTCTAGCCTGCATGAGATTAACTTTGTTGGCTGTA